TTAATCCCTAGATATAAAACAATGCCTAGCAGAACAATAAATACTATTTAAACGGTAAATAAACATGTCTGGTGATTTTTTATCTCAAATTTCGAATTTGTACTGACGAAGTTTCTCAGCACCCGTTTGTTTGCCGGACTTCGCTGAAAGGGTATGGTGTAAATTTTTTCTGCGCATAATATTCAAATTTCTTTTTTTCCAAAATATTGAACCCGCTAGAGGGGGTGCGCATTATACATGGGTGCGCACTATACTCAAGAAAATACGGTACATTAATTTCCATGCCCAGGCTGCTGGTAGTGAAGGGGGAGGCAACTCAGGTGAATCATCGGATTCACTGTCGCCGTCTGGATCAGCTTCATTGTATAAGTCATAGCTAAAATAATATATTCACTAATATATCTTAATCGGTTTCATACACTTCTTAATTGTCACGTGTTAACGTCAGTCACGTGGGAACACTTCAGTAACTGTGTATACACTGTAATCAGCCTGCACCTTTGAAGGTGTGGTTGTTAATTTGGCTCAATTGGATATTGGCATGTTGTTAGAAAACATCCTGCCTTTGATGTAACTGCAGTAATTGCAGGGAGGTCAATCAATTGTGTGAAGGGAGTTGAAAGTTGAAAGTATGGTGGGTGAAGTTGTGGGGACATTATTGTTTAGTATAAACTGTTCGAGTCATCAGGGGCACTTTTATGCTTAAATTTGGATACTTGGAACTCTTAAGTGAGTTCGAGACAAACAGGATATTTGACACACCCAGTTTGACAGATCCGAAAATACATGATAGATATAGAAGGAATTCGCAGAGACAGGAAGTTGAGTTCGAGACAACTGGGAAACGACACATCCAAGTTAGACACAACGTTTGATTGTAGTTTGTTAATTATTCTTTGATCTTGAGGCCATTTTACAATTTAGTTGTGACTGGAAATCCCAACACTGACTAACAGTGAGTATGAGTGAGTTTGATTTTACGCTGCTTTTAGAAATATTCCAGCAATATCACGGCGGGGGACACCAGAAATGGGCTTCACAAATTGTACCCATGTCGGGAATTGAACCCGGGTCTTCGGCGTGACGAGAGAATGCTTTAACCACTAGGCTAGCCGACCGTCCCCTAACAAGAGACATGTACATAATGTCCTATAACACTGACTCACAATCAGACATATGTCCTATATCCTGTAACATCAGCACTGTAGTGAGGAACACTGGTTTGGGTGGTCAGTCTCTGTGACTGGGTTGTTTGCATGTCACATGGGAGGAAACATCGCTCATGACATTCACAATGTCAACCACTGGTTGGTTTGTCTGGTTTGTCTGATCCAGACTCCACTTTTCACAGGCCATGCGCCCCAGTCCTAGGTGAGTAATAGCTTGTCACATGAGTTGACTAGATAGGATCGGTTGTCAGGCTTGGTGACGTGGTTGATTGCATTCATCACACCTCATTGATTGGAATGGGACAATACACTGATGCATCGATTGATCGCGATTTTTTACTTCTCAATACAAGTATTGATCAAAGTCACGCATGAAGTAAACAATATCGATTATCGATTCTCATCTTAACTGTCTGCTTTAATAACTAACTGTACACCAAACACTAATTAGTAGTGGAAATATAAGTATTTTCATCCTCTGTGCCATACATAGCACTGCCAACTGTAAATCATCAGTGTGGATCAGGAATATAATAATTGCTGACTGCAGTGTAAAACAACAACCATTTAAAAAGTTGATTTTCAACAGCCAAGATGCTAAGAACACTACTGGACCTCATTGTCTCAAAATCAGCTAAAGATGTGACCAGATAAAGAGGCTATAGAAGAGGATCAAGTACGAGAAGGAGTGCTGCCTTGTCTTAAAGACACAGAAGTAATTCCCAGATACCATGGATACTCTTCACATCAACACAACGAAAGCATGTAAAACAAAATCCATCCTACTCAATGAACTAAGCAACGCTATTGTTGGATGTTGAAACCCATTCGGTGACATATTGATTCCATACTATTTCAACACCCTTCAACATGCTGCAAGCGCTGGAAAAAACTCAGTCAAGAATTTGTTCACTCTGTTTGCATTTGTCATTGATTCTCTTAGTGTCAGTGTCAAGAGATATTCCTTTTCACTATGGCTAAACTCGCATTTTCATTCATATTTTGCCATCCAAACATATGTTTGTAGACTTGTTATAGTCTGTTTTACATCTTGAATAGATTTAAGCTCCTGTTGTTAGTACTGAAGGGACCCGTGAAGTTCTGTTTTAGAATAGGTCTTCAGCAACCCATCCTGGTAACAATGCTTTTTGTAAGAGGCAACTAATGGGATTGGATGGTGAAACAAACAAACAAACAAACAAACAAACAATAGAACTGAAGGGGGTACTGGACTTTGAGTACAGAAAGGTTATCTTGACCTCCTTTGACCTTAACCCCTACTTTGTGACCTTGATTGATACTTTCAGGAGAAAGGGCAATAGTAGTGAGTGAGTGAGTGAGTAGGGTATAACACCGCTTTTAACAGTATTCCAGTTATATCGCGGCGTGTCAGCTTAATGGGGGGGGGGGCCCTAAGTGATGCAGGTCTTAGACGTTTACCATTTCGGTGAAACCCATTAGCACGGCTATGGTCCTGACAAAACAAGAAACATAATTGGGGCGTCAGGCTATAGAAAGCATCAGGGTTAAATATCCCAAAGGAGTGGGGGGGAGGGGCATTACCTACCATCCAAACTGTAAAACTCATGTTCCTTTCCCTGATAAGAGAGACCCATGGAGATTCCGGTGTAGAATAGGTCTTCAGCAACCCATGCTTGCCATAAAAGGCGACTATGCTTGTCGTAAAAGGCGACTAATGGGATCGGGTGGTCAGGCTCGCTGACTTGGTTGATGCATGTCATCAATTCCAATTGCGTGGATCGATGCTCATGATGTCAATCACTGGATTGTCTGGTCCAGACTCGATTATTTACAGACCGCCGTCATAGAGTTGGAATATTGCTGAGTGCGGCGTAAAACAACAAACCAACCAAACCAACCAACCTGATAAGAGAGGGCAGGGAGGGTTGTCATGTTAACATTCTTGTGAGCATTCATGCACGAATCATGACCTACTTGCATCAAGTGCTCTTTGACAGTGACGGATATGAAAACAAGCAATGAGACAGATTGCAAAAAACTCCACTTTGTAACACGAGTTGTGATTGGACATCAGTTGTAACAAGCACTCTCACTGGCTGCTTTGATAACTTCCTCTTCCTCACTGATTTACAGGTGGATATTTCCTTGTAAATTGTTCCCATGACGATTGGTCACACATTACATAACTAAAACCATTTCGCAGGTCATGTTTGTGTGCATATGATCATCAGTCATAATTATAATTTTGTGTGAATGTGACGTGATAATAAGTGAATGCCATAACTGTGTGGCCTAGATTTATCTGTGAAGCATGCAATGTTTTTAGGTTTAGTATTGATTAAACCCATTTACCGTGATGATTCTGAAACAACAATCAAGTGTTTGAAATGTAGGTCATGTGTATTAGGACTGCCACCGGCTGTTTTTGAAAGAGAAAAGGAAATTTTCTTCCAGCCAGTCAGATGGTTGAGATGCTTCTTCTATCAGTCTGAATGGATGGTATTTAAAACAGCTCAGCTGAGATATTGCAACATGTGCAATTTGTAACCACAGATGACTCTTAAGTTCAGCACTATCAGCCAGAGACTAAACAACAGTCAAAGCATTGCAAACATCTAATGCTCTTCCTCCAAAGTGAGTGAGTGAGTGAGTATGGTTTTATGCCGCTTTTTAGCAATATTCGAGCAATATCAAGGCAGGGGACACCAGAAATGGGCTTCACACATTGTACCCATGTTGGGAATTGAACCCAAGTCTTCAGCATGACTAGCTAACGCTTTAACCACAAGGCTACCTGACCGCCCCTCTTCCTCCAAAGAAGGCATCATCCATCCCATCAACTGGCAAGGCAAGGTGGTTGCTTGAGTTTTCCAAAGGACAACTGGTGGACTACCTCCCAACGGTCAGACCATTAATGGCCAATAATATGCTGCACTAAAAGTGGGTTGTTCCACTAGAACAATACACATGTGCACATGTTTCTTGTCACCATGGCTGCAATGCATGCCTGTGGCTTCGAACTCAATGAACATCCTCCGTATTTACCAGATTTGGCACTGTCAGATATCCACCACTTCCCAAACTCAAAGAAAGAACTGTCTGGCATTATGCAAATGATGATTATGTCATTATTTCGTTTGGAGGACTTTGCGCCAGGCAGGATAACAACAAGTAACATCTTTAACGTCTGGTATGACATGGCCGGGGATAGAACCACCAACCTATGGCTATCCCCAACACTCTGTCTGGTAGGCCATGGAGGAGTCGTATCGAAACAAGAATTGAGAATCCTTGTCAAGAACCCTGAACTCTCAGGGGAAGGCCATTTAATATTCAAGGCAGATCCTGGGATTTTTATTTGAGACAGAATAATTCTACAGTCTCCGCTTCAACACGTACAATTTCTCTGATAGGATGTACCAAACAACTGTTTTCGACCACATCACATTATTTTTCAGAACATCCACCATGTTCAGGGGAGTACAGGTGGCCCAGTCGTCTAATGATCCTGGTTCACCCTGATTATGTTTATAGGTTTGTCAGCAACATACCAATGGCCCCGGGTTTCACCAAAGTGGTAAACGTCTGAGACCAGCACGACTTTGGGCTTTCCTCCCATATTAAGCTGACACATCTATAGGTTTCTGGCGTGCCCAAAGGATGCAACTCCACACAGCAAATTGTGGCGCCTTAGATGACTGGGCACCCATGCCACCCCTCCCCCCTCCATCCCCACTCCCACTCCCCACCCACTTACATAAAAGATAACTACTGTACCATATTAAATTGGCACCTATTAAGACTTTCCACTCGTTCGCCAATCCTTGACTTTCCATGAACTTGACCTACCTCAGTCTCGCCAGCCTGTGGACTACTTGTGTGTTGTTGTTTCATCTTGATTTCATTGTCTGAATAACTGCTGGCCCGGGGAAACAGGTTGTTGAGGCTGCTGTTTGGGCTGTCAACAAAGACGGTGTCGAAAGAGAGGTCATGTGACCCATCTGCGCCACCTATGACCCCACTGTCATTGCTGGTGGTGCTGACGTTGCTTCGCATCTTGGACGTCCCTTCAGAGGAGGTGTCACTCTCAAGCTGAAAGGTCAAGCAACTCTCACAGCATACACCAGTAAGTGAGTTGGGTTCATCCTCACTTAAGCATTTCAGTAACATCAATAGCTTGTCAGCTTGATGTGGGAAACCCAAAGTCTTCAAAGTTCGCCACATGGGTAACGTGCTGACAAACCTAAGAAACAATTAGTGTTAACTGGGATTTGATGTTAATGATATACTTTTCAGTTATCAGTGCTATCTTTGATATTTATCAAAATGACATTTCCATAAGATTACAAGGAATATACAGTCAGGTCTCGTTAATCACACAATCGGCTTTATCCAACACAAATGATGGGAACCGATTTAATAAGTGCTATTTAGACCCCTTAAGCCGACAGTCTCGCACTCCGACTCCGACACACCTAATTTGCAACGAATTGCTGAAATCACTCATTAATCAGTTCCATTAATCCGACACAGTGATCAGCGTACTCCATGGTCATCTGCCCACAAGTACACAGCCCCGTGTTGTGATGCGAGACGAGTCAGCAAGTAGCTGCATATTTCAACGGCTGCAGAGATAAACTTGCTTAACAATAAACAATTACTGCTTTAAATAAACAAAACAGGATTAATCACATGCCTAGATTACCTCAATCTCATTAAAATTGGATACAAGTTCTCGCTACCGCTGAGGACATCCCATTACAGGTCATGTCAGAACGACCTTTCGCGAACTTTGACCGACCAATGAAATTACTAACAGGAAGTCGACATTAGCCACTAAGAAAGCAGCTTTCTTAAGCATTGCGGCACTAGTTTCAAATTAGCGGCTTCCATACCATCTATGCTTTAAAAATCAGTCAATTTTGAATCGGTCATACAGTCCGTAACAGTAGTTTTGTGTTAAACTTTAGTGGTTGCATGATTAGAAAACATATTCCGCTGACAATGTAACAACAAAATGAACATTTCATTTTTCATTTTCCTATGTGTTTGTATCGTTATCTATCATGTAGTTGTCCAATTTTCGATCACGAACGTTTATACTACCTAATTTCATTTATCCGCCATACTCGTTTATCCGACATAATCATATGCAACCAACAATGTCAGATTAACGGGACCTGACTGTATGAAAATATAGAAGGGGTGTACAGAAGAACAAACGTGGTTGGAGCACGGAAACAATGGGAAAAGTGTCCCTTGTACATTAAACAATGAGAGCACATGAAAACAAAACAGCAAATCTTGAACACAACCCGATTCTGTGTAGAATTTATTCCTACCTCAGTTGCCTCCCCTTCCTGCAGCTCCTCCAGACTAGGGTAGCTGGGAGTGTCGGACAAGCCTGATACACTTCCTGGCAGTGAGAGTACATCTTTCTGGGGGGTAGACTGGAGGGGGCCACGCCCACCTGCAACATGGAAACACATTCAACGATACACACCTGAAAGCTGCCTTTAGATTGGCTTATGTTGACATCTTGTCAGTCATTCCAAAGGTCTATCAAAATTCACGGAGGGTCGGTCTGATGTGATCCATTACGGGATGTCCTCAGACCTTTGTGTAGCAGTGGAGAGAGCTATGATCTGATTTAAATGAGATTTGGTCTATGGATCAGTGTGCACTTGAACTAAATTCTCAGTGCCATGGGGAGTGTACAACCCAAACTGCATGTGAGGCACTAGAAGGTTAACGGTGAGCCACACTGCTATCTCATCCTACCGGGTACCCATTCACTGCTGAAGGAACAGAGGCATATGTCAAATAAAGTAGACACATGTGTGACATGTGCTTCAGTGTGGGGCAGGACCAAAGCTCTAGAAACTCTCAGGAGCCATGAGACCGCCTCTGTGGTCTTGTGGTAGAGCGTCCACCCAGAGAACAGAAGGTCCGGGGTTCAATCCCCGGCAGCGTCATACCAAAAAATTCTAAAAGATGGTACTTGTTGTTACCCTGTCTGGCGTTCGGCATTAAGGAGCTAAAACAAGGACTGGTCGGCTCGGAGTCAGTAGACTGTGTCTGAGTGAGGTATTCATGTTAAACTGTAACATCGTATCTCAGTGAGCTAGCAGTATAAATCTGCATCAGTCCGGTCTAGTACAAGCACAAGAGCGCGCACACGAACACACGCACACACACACACACACGTCGCTATATAAGTGAAATAATCTTGGACGCGACGTTAAACCCAATTTTACCTCACCTCAGGAGCCACGATGCTGAACACCCATCAAAGGACTCTCTGTGACCAACTTCACCTGATTTGTGACCTTTGCGCTGCGCACAGGACCATGCGCCACCACTACAAGTCATATTTGTTGTAGTTGGACTATTATGTCAATATATTATTTGCATGACCGTGCGAGGCCTCAAATGGAAGCTCCTCAAACTGTTCCATACGTACAATCTATTTGGAAATATGTACCAAAGTGCTACGCTTATGGTTATAATTATTTTAAAAGTATAAAGTAAAAGCTGCAACTTAAATGACATGATATTGGAACATATTATTCTTAGTAAAATATTAGTTTCAGATACAATTTATTCCAATCATTGCATCAAAATTCTTTTGAGATATATTATATTTATCAATTGAATCACTTGTAGATCTGGAAGAAAATAGGTGTATTTACACATTTCTAATTTCATTTTCCGGCCTAGTTTATGAAACAAATATACACACAGTAATCTTAAACTCTGCATATAAAACCATGCCTAGCATTACAGGAAATATAAATGAAATGGTAAATCATGTCAAGTGATGTCTTCACATTTCACATTTTCGTTGACCAAGTTTGTTATCTACTGTATGTTCACCTCAAGCTACACAATGTTGTTTTTTACTAATACACACTTCACGAATCAGCAAATTTCTGGCAAAAACGCAACTTAAGTAAGTGAGTGAGTGAGTATGGTTTTACGCGGGGTGGGGGACACCAGAAATGGGCTTCACACATTGTACCCATGTCGGGAATCGAACCCAGGACTTGGGTGTGACGAGCGAATTCTTTAACCACTAGGCTACCCGACCGCCCTATGTAATTTAAGGAAAACATTGGTCTGGCATAAATAAATAAAAGAAATAGCCTAAATGACAAAAGAAAATTCACAAATGGGTGGACCGAAAACATTCATGAAACTGTCTGGGAAGCTCAATTCTTTACACTGAGTATCTCATTCATATATATTTCGTACCTGCTTTTCACTTTTACAGTAAAACCAAAGCATGTTGAAAAACTGTTGTGTTCATCAGCTCCATGCTGCAATCGATCATGAGATTGCCTGACTGAGTTGAATTCATTGCAAAGAATCTGACATGAAATAAGCTTTGGCAACAAAGCTGAGACTAATTGATTCACAATATGTCAAACGCCAAAGAAGATAACATGTCAAAGCATTCCATGCCCTGTTTATCACGTGGATATGAAACGTGCGAGTGTTCTAATGGTCACATTGTCAGTTTGCGTGTACCAATTTTAATGATTTTCAGGTTGTAAATTTTGTCTCAGTAAGCAGGTCATCAGTTGACAATTACTCATTTGGCAAGACAGGTCAGGTTGTCACTAGGACAACTGCAGTTGAACAACCTTTCAGCATTCACGTGTACCTGCTGCATGGACCTCACTCTGTAAAACAGCAATACTTTTGATAGTTCAGAACTCTTATGGTTATATTTCGGATAACACTTTCTTAGTAAAGTACAGATTCTGGTACTTTTTGGGTTGAGTCGAACTTTCATTTTTGTGGCAGCCTCGGTGGTTGAGTGAGTTAGATCGCTGACTTTGTGTGTTGGCGATTAGGTGCCTCACTCTGGCAGTGTGGGTTCAAATCCCGGATGGGACTCAACCCCAAAAGCACTAGAATCTGTACTTTAATAAGAAAGCGTTATCCTAAACTATAACATTTGTAAGATTTAACCACTTTCTAAATGGCATTGTGTGTTCATTATATGATTAGGGGGTGCTGGTGGCCAAGTCGTCTAAGGGGCCTTGATTCACTGTGCAGAGTTGAGTCCCTTGGACATGCCAGAAACCAATGAATGTGGGTTCAAACCCCGGTTTGCCCGCATTATGTTTCTAGGTTTGTCAGCACCACACCTGTGCTCGTAGGTTTTACCAAAGACTTTAGTAGTAAACATCTGAGACCTGAATCACTTCGGGCTTTCCTCCCACATTAAGCTGTCACGCCATGATATAACTGGAATACTGTTAAAAGCTCACTCACTCAAGTCCAAATAAATGTTAACAAAGCAAAAAGGAATTTTGGTTTTTGCTTAATGCCACACTTTGCAATATCCAGCTATATAACAGATGCATTTAAATAATCTAGTCCGGACCAGCCAACCCATGACTGATGTTATGAGCAACGATCCACGCCATCAAGGTACAACCCACAATCAACCAAGTCACCGAGCCGACCCATCGGATCCACTAGGGACACCACAATTTGTTGCTGGTGACCTATTCTAATCCAGAATCAACACAGGGCCAAAGAATAATATATAGTGCTAATGTTTTCTTTTGTTTGTTTGTTGTTAATCGCTATACTCAGCAATATTCCAGCTATATGACAGCAATCTGTAAATCTGTAAATAATTGGGTCAGTATTATTTCAACTATATGACCACAGCCTGAAAACAATCAAGCCCAGGCCAGACAAACCTGTGATTGACATTATGAACATCATCCAACACCTTTGTTGAGAGGCAAGGTGAAATCGGGTTTAACGTTGTGCTCAAGATTATTGCACTTACATAGCGTCTTGCATGCATGTGTGTGTGTGTGTGTGTGTTTGCATGGCTTGTACTAGTCCGGAATAATGCTGATTTTATAGTGCTAGCACACTGAGATACCATGCCACAGTTTAACATGAATACCCCACTCAGACACACGCAGTATACTGACTCCGAGCCAACCAGTCCTTGTTTTAGCCCCTTAATGCCAAGCGCCAGGCAGGGCAAGAACAAGTACCATCTTTTTAAAATCTTTAGGTATGACACGACTAGGGGTCAAACTCCCTACCTTCCGCTCTCTGGGTGGACACTCTACCACTAGACAACGGAGAGGGTACCATCACCTTTAGGGTACAATAAACCAAGTCACCACATCTGACCACCTGATCCAATAAATCGCTTACGTTGGAGGGGGCCTATTCTAACCCAGATTTCTTGTCTATGATAAGCTCATGCACTCCATCCCTAGGAATCAAGTATGAGATAACTCAAAGCATCATTTTATCCCTCTTGGGGTAACAACAACTAAGATCAGTTATCTTCCCTCTCAGTCATCAAAACATGTAGAAAACACATGTGCAATGTGGAGTGGTCTCTCAATCACGTGACCATCTTCCGTAACAGGCCCTGGGATGAGTGCACCTCACGGGAACAGATGTCTATCCCACTCTCTGTAATGGCCGCTCATCCCAGGGATAGGACAGTGGCATCCAAATAGATAAGAGCCAACCTCGGACATAACACAAACATTACGTTCAGACAATAACTCAGCCATAACTAGAGGAGATAGCTGAGGGTTTTTAACATCCTGCTGCAACACTTATTCCCATGTCTGTACTTTGGGTGTGTAAAGATGATTTCCCAGTCGTATCAAAAGTGTTTGTGATCCAACTGCTATCTACTACTCACTGCATCACTGAATTAGATGACAAAATTTGAAAAGTGTTTTTAATGACAAGACAAAAAATATAGTTAATGATAATTAAAATTTCTGGAGTGGTGCGGTCAATTGTTTTTGGTTTTTTTTTTCAAAAGCAATTGTGCCTGGAATATGGATAGAATTTCAGATGTTAATGGATGATCATAAAACAAGGATGACCTGACATGATGGATGACCTGACAGAAATGTTTTGTGAGAACAAATATAAATTCTACCATGAAGTTGGAAATTACTTGATTCTGACTGGTCAATCAGAGGTTGTTTAATCACAATAAACCTCCTCTGATTGAAACAGTCGATTTGCTGTCCTTATATGCTTTAAATGCCTGTCATATGTTAGAGTGAAGTATTACGGTGTAAACAAACTGCTTGAGCATATACAGAGCCATATTTTTTTTAAAGACAGTTGTCGATGATTCCGTAATTCAGATCAACAACTCACTCAAAACAGTGGACTATATTTGCTAACCCCAAACAGTTTATGTCTTATTTAGTCATGGTAGAAACAATTTTTCAAAAAAAAAATCACATGACCCCTAACCCACCCCATGCCTACCACCCCCAACCCCACACCCCCAAAAATTATTGACTTAGTCACAAGCGTCTGTTGGTTGATGCACAGCTAAAGTGACATCACTGCTTCTGTAACATCAACTTATCATCACCCAGTTATTTCGTTTGTTTTGAGTATATTACATATCTATCTTTGCCTATCATACCTAACTGTCTAGTATATGAAATATATAGAATACTAAACAAAGCGATCGTAGCGCTATGCCTATCGTAAGTCTATGTTAAAGAATGGGAGTTACGATCATCTTAGAGCTAAAATCGCTTTGTGGATCGGGGCTCAGGCCTTGAATTCCAGATTATGAACTTGACATGCTGTGATAGAACTGTAAAATGCACTCATGAAAAGTCTCCATGAAGACTATGCTGCACAAAGAAATCTAAGCAGCCTTGTTGAAACACTGACCAATTTACTAAGGATTCCTATGTGATAAATAGATAGGAAACAGGGTTGACAGGCCAGGCTATCATGCTGTGAATATATGACAGCAAGGTTATGACATGCGGCACTGTTTTCATGTCTTGTTTGCGGAAACTGTCTCCCATTTCTGGGCAGGTGAAAACGTTCAAGTTCGGTGAAATCGTACAATGAAGGGTTCTGATTGTGTCATAAATTGAGGTCTCATCAATATCCATATATCTCATCACAAACATGCCCTTTGAACGTACTCCAGCTGGGGGGGGGGGGTTGATCGGATGATCATGAGAAGGTTGCATGAACAGCTGGCCTTTACTTTTCATATAATTTCCATAAGAAAAGGAAATATTTCTTGCAGTTGTATGTTGTGATTATTTGTTGTCACATTTGTTGCTTTGTAATATGTTAAAATGAACTGTGTGTAATTAGTGTTTTCATCCTGCTGTTATTTCATATTCACTTGGAGGCACAGGATAGGATTTCTATTATATAATAAGTGTGCCAAAAATACTCCGGAAAAGTTTTTTAAATGTATACACCAGCACACACAGGAAAGAAGTGAGGTTTTCCTACCATACCCCTACACAAGAGTATTGAATTGGGCTGCAGAAGACTATTATCCATATGACTGATTATGGATAGCTGACAGTGAAGAGGACTTTGGTTGAAAGTCTAAAGATTTTCCAGTGTGATGACAGCCAAAATACATTATTATGACAAAGATGTAATAGAGGTGTAGGGTATTCACAGGAATTAGATATTTATCCCCAGGTTTTACTAAAATAAAGACAACATTTACTGTTCTGAAAAATAAATTGTTGTGAAGGGTACAATATTACTGCCATGACCATTTTTACCAAAGGGCATGTTGGCCATACTAGACATAGGACAACAGATGAGAGTATGACCACCAGAGTTGGTTGATCAGCTGGACTAAAACACAAACATGAAAAGGCACCACGAATGTGTGTGAGTCATTTGTGTTCAATATCACAGTATTCCAGATGTTTCATTGCATGTCAGCTTAACATGAGAGGGGAGTTAAAGCAGACATTTACTTTTGAAACTGACAAGTACAAGTATGCTGCCGACAGACCAATCTTATAGACGCCATTTGGATTCCAGGTTAGAAGAGTGAGTGAGAGAGTTGGGTTTAACACCGTTTTTAACAGTATTCCAGTTATATCGCGGCGTGTCAGCTTAATGTGGGAGGAAAGCCCGAAGTGATGCAGGTCTCAGGCGTTTACCACTTTGGTGAAACCCACGAGCAGGGGTATGGTGCTGACAAACCTAATCGGGGAGAAGCGGGATTCAAACCCACAATCATAGGTTTCTGGCATGCCCAAGGGACGCAACTCTGCACAGCGAATCGCGGCGCCTCAGACGACTGGGCCACCCGTGCCCCCAGGTTGGAAGAGGTTTTCAGCAACCTTTTTTAATCATAAGACGTGACGGGATTGTCAAGACTCGGTTATTTACAGGCTGCCATCATACAGCTGAAATATTGTTGTGTGTGGTGTCAAAACAACAATTCAGAGATGAATTTATGAAATACTCAATTCAGATTGGTCCAGCAGAGGTTTCAATTCACAATTACGACTTTTTAACACCAGAAATGATCTGTGCCCTTGTCAATAAAACATTCAAGAGCAACAATCATAACTATTTGACATGGACTCAGGACTGTCGTAGTCCTAATGAACACTTTGTGGATGGGGGAGGTCTGCCCTGCACATCACTTGCAACTCACCATGCCTGTAGCAGTGAGCCATGTTCCCGAAGGTTTCAGCACCAGCAAAGGGCTCACTCTTGTAGGGCCGCTCCTTCCTCTCCCGCCGCTTCTTGTGTCCCTCCGACATCATGGACACATCAGATATTGACCGCAGCACCGACTGCACCTGAAAACAAACCAGTGTTAAGACAATACCTATTTTTTTCAGGATCTCGAATTCAGCCTTTTAACTTAAGATGTATATATAGATGCAATCTGGTTCATGAAAGGTAGTATTTAACAAAACTGACCAGTTACATTTGTCATGAATAAATCAGTAAGGATTTTAGGTCCCAGTTCAAAAGTTTGATGTCAGATAAAAAAGCTATTTTTTTAAGTTTTGAGACATCTCACTCACCCTCTCAGTTAAACACAAATTCAGAAAAGGTTGAATTCCTGAGTTTAGTGGCCTCTATTGTCACGTTTTCTTATGTTTTGCCCTGCTTTTTCATAACATTTATTGACTGAAGTTTATTTACTGGGGCATGAAAATCATCTGTTGAGTTTTTATAGATCAACTCTGTATTATGCAGTGCACTGGAAGGATTTACCACTGTTGCCAGCGACGACAAAACCCTATAAGTCTTTGATAGGCATTTAGGAATGGAAGAACATGACAACTTTTATGGATAACAACTTCTATTATTCTTTGTCATGATGTTTCAGAGCTACTTCTTCCCCTTCGTCAGATGAATGCTGAGTAAGTGCAGAGAGTTAATATATATATATCATGATATGTTTACACAACACATCATATGTTTTCATGAGATAGGATTAATGTACAAAGATAACAATATGATGAAGCCAAGGAGACAATTCAATTAAGTGCACTGGAGGTGTAGTGATGACAAAGTGCTGGCTGTTGTGACACAAGCAATAAGACTCTACTCTACCTCGCAGAATGATCAGGTTTACTTAATGACAACTCGTAACAGCATATGAATGAAAACAGGATCGGTGAATATAAGGGTTGGAGATATAGCTTAGTTTAGATACTACATAAAACATTGAGAAATCAGGTAAGTCTAACCTAAACCTACAAACAAAGATTTTTATCCGACATCCAACTTTTGAACTGGCCCCTCAGCCACTTCTTTGTTGTTGTTTATGGCCTGCTATATATAGTATAAGTCAAAAGAACATCAGTGGCAATTTAGTATCACGCCCATGTTACATTTTTAAAGTGAGTGAGTGAGTGAACTTCATAAGTCAGCTCTTCCAACAAGCATTGTGTCCTCCTGACTTATTCTGCTCTGTATCCATTACATGGGGGATTAGCAAAGAGAGTGAGTGTGTTGGGTTTAACGCTGCTTTTAACAGTATTCCAGTTATATCGCGGCGTGTCAGTTGGATGTGGGAGGAAAGCCCGAAGTGATGCATGTCTCAGACGTTTGCCACTTCGGTGAAACCCATGAGCACAGGTATAATAATTTGGATAAAATCCTCAATTAAAAATATGAAAACTGAACAAAAGAACATTCTAGAATGCCTAATAGATGGCCAAGATTCTATGAGAGTACTTGCCACAGGCTATGTAAGGTCTTTTCCATTCAAATGTTTATCCCATTGAAATGAGAGATAGACATTGAATCAGTCATACAACCCGTAAATGTCATTCGGAATATCCCATGTTAACCTTTTCGAGGTTGCATGATTAGAAAACAAATTCCAACTGTAACTGGTAAGTGACCCTCTGATTGGTCAGATGAAAGAAAGGTCATTCTGATGTGACCGGTAATGGAATGTCCCCAGATATTTGTTAAGTGGTAGCAAGAAAAAAAATCTAATTTTAATGAGATTGCCGGAAGTCCTGGTATACTGGACCATATTCATTGACATCCAACTAATTAATCATAAAATTGGGCATTATCTGAATGGTCTTATTTTGTGACCAAAATATTTAAAAGTACATAGAAAGTGTTCTCATGAAGTGGTAGCGGTCTCTTATTTTTGAAGCTATATTCTGATAGGAAGTAAGAATTAATCACATAAACACTGATAAACTTGTCGATTATCAAATAAAGATGAAATTTGTTAAAGAATATAGAAAGTAAGATATCACTTGATTAGACGTAATCTTGCAGATGATAAATGTGCAAACGGATCAGATTTAAATTAATTAAATTGATCAAGTTGATACCCGTGTTGAGAGGTGTCTTTATAATGCTTTGAGTCAATTGGATAAAGTCATGGATGTTCCTGTACTTCAAAAACCAATCATTCTTCATTTATTTGTGATTTTGGGATCGTTTTTTCATCAATTAAGACTGTAATTGTCAAAACTGTTTTCTTTTCACCCTGAAGTGACTTCATAAAAAGGGGATTTCCCAAAGCTGTGTCGCTTTAGTTCAGGTTGATTATGTTAAAACAGCTATAGTGATTATTATTATTATTGTGCTGCAAAAGAGCACAGGTTGCTCCTGAAAAACCTTGAAATCACGGCAAATCTGTGATTCAAACCCACAATCACAGATTTCTGGCATGTATTGCACTGTCTTAGACGACTGGACTGTTTGGCCATCATTCCATGCTAAATATAGTCATGCACCAGTGCACACGTGAGCCATTCCAAATCCATCACTGTGCAGACGACTTGAATCTGTTCGTGTGACAATGGACTTATGTCCTCGGCACATTGCATGTGATTACACCTGTCAGAGCTTATGGTTATACGCCTCTATCCCACATATCAAAAGTCACATTCGTGTTCACCAATGACGCACTTACAGTTTCACATCTGGCATCAATATCTCAATATCCATCTCCTTCTTTTACCGTGAAATCAAAACCATGTACTCTTATAAAATACCTCTCTCTGCAGTGGGGGACACGGGTGGCCCAGTCGTCTGAGGCACCGCGATTCACTGTGCAGAGTTGCGTCCCTTGGGCACGCCAGAAACCTATGATTGTGGGTTAGAATCCCGGTTCGCCCCGATTATGTTTCTAGGTTTGTCAGCACCATACCCGTGCTCGTGGGTTTCACCGAAGTGGTAAACGTCTCAGACCTGCATCACTTTGGGCTTTCCTCACACATTAAGCTGACTCGCCGTGATATAACTGGAATACTGTTAAAAGCGGCGTTAAACCCAACTCACTCACTCTCTCTGCAGTGACCTCACCAACCCTCCACATGCCACTTCACGTGAACTCGGAGCAAATTTTTTACATATTAGTTTCATCAATGAACTATGAGTTCAAAAACGTGCAGGCAAGTGACATTGCATGATTGTCATCACAAAGGACCACAATGTGTATGGTATTAACTGTGAACCATGCTAAGGTAAATCCTTCTTGACTGGACTGTGTTTGAATAGGCTTCCCAAATAGATGAGAGAATGTATTAATATATAACATGAAGGGCTAATAACTTAACCCTCAGACCATGTTATTAAGACATTTGTCACACAGGCTTATTGACTACATCAGTGTCTGTCACGACAATTATCACCCGATTCTTTCATATTACTTATGGTTTATCTGTCATGGGACAAGTCTCATCATTAAAACAATGCTTAAATAACAACAGTAGATTACTTTGTTAACACAATACAACAGTTTAAAATGAGTCTGACGCTCATAATCCATTTAAAAGAAAATGGCGGTAGCCGATAATCATGATTTCAGGACTTCAACTCATTTTTCAAATTTATAAAAATTGTTACGGGAAGGATTTTCACCCTACAAAGAAATAAAAGCCTTCAAGAAAGTAGTACAATTATGCATCTATGTATCAATGTTTACGGGCGATAGGTGTTGTTTCATGTCCTTGCCATAATTGGTTATAGTGAGTGAGTATGGTTTTACGCCGCTTTTAGCAATATTCCAGCAATATCACGGCGGGGGACACCAGAAATGGGCT